TTCTGGCGCTTGGGCCTCTGGCAAATTGCATGTCTTTGTGTTGGATTAGTTTGGAATTTAATCATGCATTATTTTTCCTCCAATTAAATTATTTATATATTTTATTAATGTTTTCACTGCTAGGAAGTCAAATTTTCAATGAAACCACAATTAAACGCATGCCCATTGAATTTCAGGCCAGGCTCACATGGGATCACTCTGCTGAATATTAAGAACTTGCTGTGTATTGGACTTCTTAGCTACCTAGAGCTAGGATTTGGGCGAGCAGAGAACGTATGCTTTTTCCACCGAGTCCTAGGAACTTGAGCAGAGGGGCAGGTCTGTCTGGACTAATGCTGTCTGCTAGCTTTTCTTTTCTCTGGCACTGAAACAGATCTCCTTCTAATGTTACTTCCTCTGGCTGGAGACCCAGCTTGACTGAGAAAGTCCTGAGCTCTGCGAGCCCCCAAAGGAAACTCTGGAGTCATCTATTGAGTTGTTGGAAAATTCATGATGTATTTTTTCTGTGTTTTTCATTGCAAAAATGTGTCATGACTTTTCCGACAACCCAATAGTTGAGGGTGAGCAAACACATGCTCCACTGGCCCAATGCTTGGGTTGGCACGGTCCATTGACTAAGTACAGTTTTTGCAGTTTTAAATAACTGAAAAAAAGTTTGATTTTAAGAGTGTTTCATGACACGCAAAGCTTTCGGTGTCAACAGATAAACAGCTGGTACATCATTTAGGTACTGTCTATGGCTGCTGTCCGGAAACAGCAGCAGAGGTAAGAAGCTGCAACACACCTTTTGGCACCCAAAACCTGAAATATTTACTTTCTAGCTTTTTGCAGAAAAAGTTTGCCGACACCTGATCTAGTTCATCATCCTCACTTTACAGATGAGGAAATAAAGGCCCAAATAGGTGATCTGAACTGTCCATCAGGAATTGGTCTGGATGTATCTTCTGCCCTCTACCATGTTCTTCCCACTGTAATATAAGATCTGCCTTGAGGTGAGCCCTCAGGAGCACTGGCTGCAGAGGCCAAAGCAGCTTTGCAAAGAAAAGTAAATACGTAGGACACATGGATGTATAAAGTCTATGACTTCTTAGAATTTTAATTTTCACTTGAAATCCAGTTCTAGGAAATAAGCTTAAAATGCATTTGAACAACCTTATGCAGACAGAAAGATGTCTTTCTTTTTTTTTAAGGAGTAAAAATAATGTTTTAAACAGCATTTCCTCCTAATTTTCACATCTTATACTTGTTAAAATTAATGAACCAATATTGATTGGTATGTTATTATTAAAGTCCCTCCTTTAATCATATTTCCTGAGTTTTTCTCTAATGTCCTTTTTTAAATTTTAGTATTTTTCAATTACATTTGACATTTGATATTATATGTTAGTTTCAGGTGTACAGCATAGTGGTTAGACACTTATCTTTGTGTTTCTTTGTATTCGCTGATTATGTCTTGTGCTCAGCGTTTGGACTGTAAAGCAAGATGGACCTGGTCCCTGCTGGCCGAGGTTGTAGAATCTCATTTCAAGAAAAAGGACTGTGATCTCCCTCCAAGTTGGCACTTGAGCAATTTCATAAAATCCCAAAAGCATGTTAGCTAGAACTCGGGGCTGCTCTATGGGGCAGAAAGGGAACATCCCCAAGACGCTAGCCTTCTGAAGGTGCGCTTGCCCCCGCTCTCAGTGCAGGCCCACCCATCCTCGCCCGTGGGAGTCCCACCACTGGGATTTTCAGACATTGTCTTGGCATGGCAGCAGGTCCCCATCGCCTTTGTAGGCAGCTCCTGTGCCCCCATCCCTCGTGGTTACTAAATCCCCTCCAGTCTAACGCTCCAACCCCATATGTCCACTTCAGAGCCTTCGCTCCCTGTCCTGACAGGCATGTGCTCAAGGGACTGGGGAGTGTTTGCTACTGTGCTGACCCCCAGCTGAACGAGACCTCTTCCCGCTTCTCCGAGAGTCCAGCTCCTCCAGTGTGTTGGGGAGAAGAACAGATGAGTCTCTTACTTCAATGGCCACATTGGTGCCTCCCTTGCTGGTCATCGCGGTTCCCCCAAGTAACACCAGTTAACCTTGAGGCCCTCCTCCTCAGGTCTGGCGTCCCAGTGCCGACTTCCTGGTGAGGTATATGTGAGTTTTCTCCAGCAATGTGTCCCATAGTCTTGCTGCTGGACACCTTACCCAGCCCTCTGCCTTTCAGGTGGGCCCAGCTCAGCCACCTCAGGGGTATACCCTGGCCTTGGAAACCCATGGCTTGTACTGCCGCAACCAGGGGCGGTGCTGCAGCCTCCTGTGTCTGCCCGACCCCTTGTCTCCTGCCGTGCGTGCTCTTCCCTGCTCCTGAAAGGCACCAAGTTCTGTGCTTCTGCAGATGCTCATGCCTCATTGTTCTGCACTAGTGCCCTCTTGCCCAATTCCACCCTTATCTGCACCCCCGGCGGTCTCCACTCACCTGTCCGGTCTGACTTTAAATGCTACTTGATTGGCGAAGCTGACCCTAATGCTCCACATGGCTTTGGGATCCCTTGTTAATTGTTCGTATAGAAGCTTCTTATTTCCTTTCAGAACACTGGTCACAACTATAATTGTATAGTAACTTAGGTCATTACCTGTTTTCCTCCAGTAGACAGTAATTTCCTTGGGGCGGGAGTCGTGTCTGTCTGATTCCCCAGCACTGGGCCTGGTGTGGAGTGACACTCAGTACAAACATGTAAACGTGTGAGAGGCAAGTGCAGTGTTACAATCATAGTGTATTACCTGTATTTCACTTAGCAAGACAGGGCTTATCTGTGGATATCTTTCAAATTCTTTTGAATTCTTGATAGTATTTTATTTATAAAGTGATATCTCATATTAAACTCTTATTGTATAGGTACTAGGTGAAATGAAGTTGGAAGATAATCAAAAGCATTAAGCATAATTATTTCTGTCCAGTGAAAGTTTAGTTTGCTATATGAGTCAAATCAATTCCACAGATATTTACTGAGGGCCTGCCAACGACCAGGGACACCTGTCAGTTGCTGAGAATATGAAACCTAAAGACATGGGTCCCAGCCTCAAGGAGTCGGCTCAGACCAATTCCAATTCAGTTTTCCAATTATAACTGCCTGCCTCCCTCCTCCCTTCCTTCTCTCTCCCTCCCATCCTTTTCCTTTCATGTATACTAATCCAAGGAGCCTTATTTCTAAAAACTTCGAAAAAAACTGAACAGAGTAATTTTTATTGAGTGGTTTTGTGTGATCATTAATTTTTCTCCCTGGAAAGGAAAATTTATAGAACCCGTCTGTATTATGTGGGCTTAAAGGCTGGACACCAGCACACATTTGGGACAGTCCTGGGTGAGGTGAATGGACTGCAAAATGTACCTAAATCATGATTTTTAAGATTGCATATTGTCCCCTGTCCAACACATCTGTTCTCCTCATATACGTATGTGCACCAGCATAACTTTTCACAAACACTAATTCTGAGGACAGTGGCTTTTTATAGGAAACCCACATGTGTTTGCCTCAGGATTGCTACTCCGTCGTGAACCTGAGTGAGTCTGAGTGGTTTCCTTGTCTTCTTCAGAGCTTTGAAAGGACCCGGTTGTCTCCCTGTGCGCTGTGCTGTATCACCCCCTCTCTTCTGTTCCTCAGGCTTTCTCGGAGCTGCTCAAGGAAACTGAATAGTTTATGGCATTTCTCTGCCCTCATCCAGCTTTAATTCCAGAAACAACCTGAGAGTCTTCCTAGTTTCCCTCCACAGTCAGCCGGCCTAGTGGAGTAAGTGGGAAGGGCAGGCTGTGATGGTGGAATCACCCTTGCCCTCAGAGACCACTCAGGAGGAGCCAGAGTGTAGGCGGGAAAGTAATTAAATGCTCTGTCACCACTGTGTGGTGCGTGGCACCCAAGGGGAGCTTTCTCCTATTGCATAATATTTTTAGGGGTGCATTTCTATGTATGTTTGAGAACGTGTAGGGGAAAAAAATCTTACATTAAGACAAATAAAATGTGGGATGACTGTGAATAAAGTCAGCAAGACCAACCTAGGACACAAATTTCTTCAGTAATCCATAATTGGACATTTCAGTCATATTGAAATTGACTTAAATTTTATTCAAATTGAGAACCATCTCTTCCTCTCATTCTACTGTAGTTTTCTCATGTCTTCCGGTTGCAGGGCACTTGATGTATGTCCAAGGAACTCTATAAAATGAGATTCTAAAACTTTGAATTGTTAAGGAATTCAGGGAAATTCACTTTCATTTTAAAAACCAAATTAATAGAATTATGGAGTTGAAAAGAACCTTAGAAACTAGGTAATCCAACTCTTTATTTTGTACATGCAGACAGCCAAGATCCTGAGAGACTAATAGCATTTTGTTGATGATCACCTGGTCCTCATCTCCAGTACCTAAGTTCATTTCTCTGTGTTTTTATTCAAGAAGAAATCCAACTAATTGGAAATAAAGTATAGTTTGGAAAAGTGCTTTATCTTGCTCCTCATTACAGTACTTTGTGTGTGTGTGTGTGTGTGTGTGTGTGTGTGTGTGTGTGTGTGCGCACACATGCATGCGTGTTCTTTTTCTGCAGTCTGAGCCAGGCTCTAACCCAAGGCCCAGAGTGAGGGAGAGCCGGAGAGCACCTCTGCGGGTGGTTAGCCTTGACCCCCACTTGGCAGATGAGAAATAACAGAGGCCCACAGAGGGTGCATCTGGCTTACCCCATTTCAGAACTCCGCTCTTCAGATGCCCTATGCAGTCCTTTTTCTGGGACATCAGGCTTCTTCCAAATAGCGTCACTCCTGTTAACTAGGAAGTATATATACAGTTAATAAGAGCAAATTTAAGAAATGTAATAATCAGAACAAAATAATCTGTAATATATTAATAGTGAAGTTATCTCATAGCCTTTAGGACTTATGGTTGGGGCTTTTTTTTTTGCATTTCCTTCTGTTTCCTTCAGAAATTAGTAATACATTTCCATTTAATGTGTCTTTATTTTCCCCCCCAAACCCCAGCATATAAATAACGACCATATTCATGGAGAGAAGAAGGAATTTGTGTGCCGGTGGCTGGATTGCTCAAGAGAGCAGAAACCCTTCAAAGCCCAGTATATGTTGGTGGTGCACATGAGAAGACACACGGGAGAAAAGCCTCACAAATGCACTGTGAGTACACGGGTGGCGCGGGCTCTCACTCAGGGGGTCGCCTCACACTTATGGATGCCAGGTTCGTCCCAGGGGTTCTTTGTCATGCTCCTCGGGTTGTGCATGATGACACAAGCTCACAAGTCGCCTGGCTGGGTGGCGGCCTGTCTGTGATAAATGCTGGGGTTTGTGAGAAGGGTTTCTGAAATGGAAGGGAAGTAACAAATGGAGAGAAAACACTGGCAGCTGAGCTTTGGGGGTGATGGAAGTGTTCTAGACCTGCACTGTCTCACACGGCAGCCACAAACCACAGGCACCTCTTGCGCGCATTTGAGATGTGGCTGGAGCAACCGGGAGCTGATTTTTTTAAATTTAATTTAGTTTTAAAAATGTAAATATAAATAGTCCCATGTGGCTGGCAGCTTCCATGTTGGACAACACAGCTCTGCAGGGTGGCAAGTGGACAGGTAGCCGCTGCGGCATTTTGGCTGGCACTGCACCAGGAAGGAGCACACAGCCCTCATGCCTGCCCAGTGCCAGTGTCCTTCATGTCAGAGGACGCGGCAGGCAAAGGCAGGTGCCAGCTTCAACCTGAAAAGCTTGTGTTGGCTTTTTAAAATTATAATTAGATGGCTTTTGAGTTTTTCCTTGGCCTTCTCGTCTGCCCCCATGGCCCAGTGTAGACTACTCACAAGCAGGCTGGGGCTCCTACGAGGGTAAGCCTCTTTTCACTGAGGTGCTCACCAGGCACACTGGTGCTTTTCAAACATGATCAAATTCCATGCCTTTGTGTGGACACAAAGCCATATTAATGAACTTTGTGCTGAATCTGAAATCAGTGGGAATTCGAAGAGATCAATGAGCAGATAATGAAACCCATTGTCCGCATGGAGTGGTCTCTTACGAGAAAACCTCCAGAACTTTTACTAGCACTGAAAATGCTTTCTCTCGAACTGCACGGAGCCCCATCTGAATCCCAATAAATGCAGCCTTTAGTGGACTTTTGTTTCTTGGTTTTGAAAAGCTGCTGACCCTCAAAATGTCAGACTTTCATCAGCTGTGAGGGAGTGTTCAGCATATGCTGTTATTGTATGGCATAATCCAGATTTACCTGTTGTCTTCAGTTTGAAGGTTGCACAAAGGCCTACTCGAGACTAGAAAACTTGAAAACACACTTGAGATCTCACACTGGAGAGAAACCGTATGTCTGTGAGCACGAAGGTTGCAACAAGGCTTTCTCAAACGCCTCTGACCGTGCCAAGCACCAAAACAGAACACATTCCAACGAGGTAAGGCTTCCCCACGTGACACTCGGCGGGGTCTGTACGTGAATAGGCGAGCCTGGAGCCTGTTCGGTGCTCTTTCCTCTTGACCATTCCTAGCACGTGAGCCCTGAAGGCTTGGGCCTCAGAGGTCGGGCTGAAAATGGCCTGCTTTGGACAGTAATGCAGATGAAGAGGGAACTTGTTCAGACCCCTGGCAAGCAGGTTTCACTTTGTTTAGAACTGCCACCTACTGGTCAAACAGTAGGAGCATTTAACTTGGAAGGCCATCTACTTCCTGAACCCGGAATGGCATGAATACATTCAAGGATGACCCTGTGAGCATGGAGGGTAGATTCAGAAGCAACATGTTGAGAGCGGACAGCTTACCACTAAAACACCCACTTTTATTTGCATTCTCCAGGTGATATCTGCAAATGTATTATATCAAAACAAGACTTTTTTTACAGCAACCAGCCTTGCCTATATACGATTTCCAGACATTCTAAATTCGAATAGATTTTGGAAGCTATTCTCAGAAACCCAGAATGGTTTCTAGTCAATTATTTAAGGTAACATGTCACACGAAACTTGGCTGGATCCTGTTGTGTTTAGGTAGTTATCCCCCCCAAAATTTCAGAGAAGCATAAGAATGAAAATGATTTCAGATTCATTTTGCACACATTTTGATGCATATCTGCCTGCAGATGTCTAACTTCTCCTTAAAGATCGAACTCAACCTCTGGCTTCTCTGTGAAGTCTTCTCTTGAATGAATGCAGAGATTAACAGAAAGGCTCCCAACATACTTACCTGCAGGGGAGACACCATGATCACAAAAAGGCTCCCACAGTTTGGGTAGAAATAGGAGAGCTAACTAAAATTTGATGACATGACAAAGTATGTCATCAGTTAGTCTGCCTGAAATGTGTGAGAGAAGGAGCATTTTGACCTTGGCATGGCTGTCATCTGACCTTACAAGGTACCATCTGGCCCATTCATGATCTTTCAAATGGAAAGTTGAGAGAGAGAATCTGGTTGAAAACAAAGTGTGCCAGTCAGCTCACTGGCCGTTGGCATGAAGGTGACAAAGCTGGTCCTCACTGAGTTTTCTTTCAGCTGATCTGGCAGAGCAAAAACATCTCTAGTCTGATGAGGCGCACTCTAACAAGCACACTCACACATGAACTCACATGCAGGTTCCCATACTCAGACATTTCAGAACGCTCATGGCGGAATAAGGAAATGAGTCATTCAGAATCTTATTATTGATCAACTCTTTGAAGATATTTTAGGGGAGATACTGCATCTCCATTTTTTATGTAAAAAATATGTTACCATATGCAGTAGTTACATTGTAATCTGCGATACTCATTTTGTGCAGTTTTAGAGAGTCCAGAATAGGCAAACCCACAGAGACAGCAAGTAGATTACTTAGTGGTTGCCAGAGACTGGGAGGTGGGTAGAGGTGACTGCTAATAGGTACAGGGTTTCTTTTCAGGATGATGGAAATATTCTGGAATTTGATAGTGGTGATGTTTGCACAACATTGTGAATCTACTAAATGCCCTGAATTATGCAACTTGAAAGGGTTATTTTTATGGTGGGTGAATTATCTCTCAATTTAAAATGTTTTAGGGGATTCGATTAACTTAACTTAGAGTTTAATTAATGTATTTAACTACATTTAATACATTTAAGTATAATTTTTAATAGAAATGTAGAGGGTATCCATTCCTATAGATTGTAGACCAAGGTTCTCACCTGTTATTGTGGAGAATTTTGGATAGTGGGTATGTTAGGATTAGCAGTGCACACATACAAACATACTTACTGAGCCTTTTATTTTTTTTGTTGACTTAAAATATGTGTACATGTCTGTTGCTGTAATTAAGTGTGTTAGAGTTGAGCCTATATTCTTCTGCGAGGTAAAAAGTGCCATGCTATATGAGAGTTTAGTGAGGTTAAAAGGTGTCTTGGTCCATATCTTTCACCAAGGTTGAGCAATTTTAAAAATAATTTAAATTTTCTTCCAATTACAGTTGGCATTCAAAATTATATTAGTTTCAGATGTATAACAGTGATTAGACATTACGAAGTGATCTCCCTGATAAGTCTAGTACCCATCTGACACCAAGGTTGAGCAATTTACCTCCTAAAATAAATTATTGACATTGACCACTAACACATAAATAAAATTTTATTCACAAACACATAAATAAGTTTTCTCTATTCTTTTTTTTTTTTTATAAGATTTTTTATTGGGGAATTGGAGGATGGGAACAGACAAGTTGCTGTCCTTTTGTTCTTCAGTCTAGTTGTGGAGGACGTTGCTTCACTGGCCCAAGTTGGCACCATCATTGCGCTCTTCCCGGGCGAGGCAGCTCAGTCGCTGGCTTCTGGACGGCCGCTCACTGCGGCTGCTGGCCGCTGGCCGCTCACGTTGGCTGCTGGCCACATACGGTAGCCCATGGCAATCCACTGCAGCCTACGCCCTCACCGGCGACTCACGCAGCCCAGCTCCAAGGCGAGCTGCCGTTCAGCATCTTAGCTGTAGAGGGCAGTGTCACATGCCCTCATATGTGGGATCCTAACTGGGGCCCTCTGGTGTCCCAAGCCAGCTCTTAACCATCGTGCCACTTGGCCGGCCCAAGTTTTCTCTATTCTTCATACAGGCTTGTCCTTGCGTATGAATGATGGACAATTTCTTATACACCAAAATTAAGTTTGCCCAGGAAATCCAGCTTTGTGTAATCTGATGATCCTAAATAAATCTAGATGTCTTCTCTCATGTATTTGCTTTCTTATTTGTACCTTCGTTGATTTACTAAACAAATATTGATAGGTAATATGCCAAGCACTTCGTTGTCGTAGGTGCAGTGGACAAGAACAGGATGGGAGCCATTCCCATGCGGGAGGCCAGTGCGTACTCCCCTCCCTCCCCCTGCCTTGCCCAACGGGGCCATAGCAGTGACCTCTGACAGGGCTCCCTACTCCAGACCACACAGCTTATGTTCCTCCCAAAGCCACACCAAGCAAGTTTCCTTGAGCGCTGATTCGGTAGTATCTCCCTCTGCAGAAAGCTCCAATGGCTCCCTCTTTCCTGTAGGAAATGTTTAGACTTCTTAGGTTTGTACTCACGCTTACCCAGCGCAAGCCTGCAGTCTTGACCCCTCACCATTGTGACTGTGAATGGAACCTTCCAGAGAACCTGTGCTTGAACAGATGGGACCGCCCGGGACCTTTGCCCAGGACTCTTCTTGCTCACATCCTCTTGCTCTCAGTTTTATCCCTCAGAATCTTGTTCTTTCAAAACCTAACTACAGTGCCTCCTCCTAAGAAAAGCTCTGTTATATTGAGAACTTATTATGTGCAACACATGGCGGTAAGCACTTCGTGTGCAGTATCTTGTTTAACCCTGACCCTGGCCCAGCGAGCTGGGCCTTAGACCCCGGTATAGAAACGAAATGCCTCCCACAAGCGTCCCCCTGAAAAAATGATCCCCCTCTGTCCACATCCTTTTGTAGCATTCATACTTTGTATTGTAGATAATTACATGCTGTCTTTTTTTCTTACCATATTTTATAATCCTTGAGATTAAATCCTGTTGTACACAACTTGGTGTTCAGAGAGTGTTACATATAGTAGGGATCATTAAATGTGAGATGAAAAATTTATTAGGGTAGATTCTCAAAATCGAGCACAAAAAGTATCCATTGGTTTTACAAAGCTCCCTTCAGTGCAGTGAGTCAAAAGGGTAACAACGATGCCAAAAGTGCAACGTCCGGGACAGGAAACGTGGGCAACTCAGCTTAGAAAGACTGACAGCATTTACCTTCGCCTACAGTTATGTTTCATTTCAGTCGCTGATCACAAGAGAATTTAGGGGCCAAGCTGCATACCTGAGTTAATGTGTTTTGTTGTAAGGCGTCAGTTTTCTGAACCTGTGCTCTTACGGAGTTTGCAGGTGGATAATGTGTACATCCACACGAAGGGCACCTGGGTGTATGTGTACTTTTGTGTGTGCTGTGGTTCCTGGAAATGTAAGAGCTGACGTTTGCCGACTCGTTCTACTTCTAGCCGTGACCTCATTTCCAGGCAAACCCACAGTATCCACATGCGTACGTTTATGGGAATAGTAGCTCTTGGAACATGCAGCGCTGGCCTGGCTTTATGTCCCCACCCCCAGCCCACACACCTGCCCCGTGCACCTCCACCTGCCTGTGGCTGGAGCAGCCTGGCCCAGCAGCGCAGTGAGGAGGCACCAGACAGGCGCCAGGTCACTGTGAGCTAACAGCAGTCAACGTCAGGGCCACTCTTCTGTCCCTGATGCTCAGCATTTGATTTCCTCATGTCATTTATATATATAATATATATATGCTGCAAGTCACAGGAGCTCCTGAATAGAAGTAATGCATAGTTAATGAGAGAATCAGTTTTGGAGGCAGTCTCTCAGGGTAATTTTCAGGGTCTTTGCTTCTCTACATTAGGACCTTTCATCATTTTAAATTTTTTTTTTTTTTAAGATTTTTATTGGGGAATTGGGGGGATGGGAACAGTGCTGGGGAATGGGGGAAGGGGAAGACAAGTTGCTGTCGTTTTGTTCTTCAGTCTAGTTGTGGAGGACGTTGCTTCACTGGCCCAAGTGGGCACCATCATTGCGCTCTTCCCAGGCGAGGCAGATCAGTCGCCGACTTCTGGATGGCCGCTCACTGCGGCTGCTGGCCGCTCACGCTGGCTGCTGGCTACACACGGTAGCCCATGGCAACCCACTGCCACAAGGGCTGCAGCCTATGCCGGTTGCCGGCGACTTGGCAGCCCAGCTCCAGGTTGAGCTGTTGTTCAGCATCTTAGCTGTGGAGGGCAGTGTCACTGGCCCTCATATGTGGGATCCGAACCGGTGCCCTCTGGCATCCCAAGCCAGTTCTTAACCATTGCGCCACTCGGCCGGCCCAGGACCTTTCATCATTTTAGGTAGCACTCCATCTGTTCTTGGGCTTTTAGTGAAAAAGCATCTTATAGATGCATATACTGTTAGACAGGGCATCTTTTTTAATATAATGGGTGCATTATATTAATCATGATTTTTATGACTATTGCTTACCTAATAGCTCATCTTCTGGTATATGTAGATATAAGTATGTACTCATAGAAGCATCCATGAATATATTATATTTCAAGCCAAGTAAACAAAATCACAATTCTAATGTTGATCATGAATACAATACCAGCAGTTCTGTAATTTGAGTAAATATTTGGCTATAAGCACCCATATAATTTTTATGACTATCTGTAGGCTTGATCAGTGGCCCATTAACATGAAATACTTCATCGACTTTTGTACTTGGGAGGAGGGCCTAGACCAGGAATCGTTGTCTCCAGGACACCTTCCATCAGCCTTTTTCAGTTTATGAGTGAACTTTCATTGACCATCTAACAGGACTTTACCACTTTGCAGATCAGAAAAGTTCTGGTTATTCTGAGCCCTGACCATCCCCACACGGTTGTAATACCACCCAAAGGAACATATTTTAGTATAATCTAATATGGGAGAGTTGGTAGGCAATTTGTTTTATTATGCCTGTGTGTAGAGAGCACATTTTCAGAGGGGTAGAGTGATATTAGACCTGAGAACTAGGTCATCCACAAGAAATTTCTTCACACAAGCTCTCTGGAAAGGTATATATAGCATTCTTTTGATTAAATCATGGGTATCTTTTAAGCCTTCTTTGGTCATCATCATCATCAACATCAACTATCCAACACCTACTGTGACACCACACTACTTCTTCCTATGCACAGGATAAATGTTTCCATGATTATAAATGCAATTGCATGCTCTTATGAGCACTCTCTGAAACAATAACCTCTGAAAGCTACATTCTATGGAACCTGAACAATGTTCAAATGGCCTTTATTAAACTTTGTGCCATTTAGAGGTATTTGAACACCTCAAAGCTTTGTGAAAGTGCTTTGAAAGAATTAAAAATATAATGAGCAACCACAAAAGACTGTTGGGCTGGGGCATAATCACTTTAATAACAATCTGTTATTTCATTGTCGTGGCATCTGGCAGAAACCATATGTGTGCAAAATCCCAGGCTGCACGAAGCGCTACACAGACCCCAGCTCCCTCCGGAAGCACGTGAAGACAGTGCATGGCCCAGAGGCTCATGTCACCAAGAAGCAGCGTGGGGACATTCACCCTCGGCCCCCCCCACCACGAGATTCCGGCAGCCATTCACAGTCCAGGTCACCCGGCCGGCAGACTCAGGGAGCCCTTGGTGAGCAGAAGGACCTCAGCAACACTACCTCAAAGCGGGAGGAATGCCTCCAAGTGAAAACGGTCAAGGCGGAGAAGCCTATGGTATGTCGTTCACTTTCCTTGTGATTTTCCCAGAGCCATCCTGGGTCATTAAGAGAGCCACGCTGGGCATGGAGAGGGACTGGGGTGTCCCCATCCTTGCCGTATTAGGCTCTCTGATTTAAGGAGGTCAAGAGCTCAGTGACCTGGATCGCGGACTCAGAGTGGCTCTGCATAGGGTAACTCAGCTCAGAAAAGAATTTCAAGGCTTCCTCACTGGTTTTTAAAATTGATTTGTAGCCATACCACCTGTGGCAGGTAGAAAGACACAGCTGTCTACATTTTCAGCAGGACTGTAATGTATAAAATCATTCATTCAGACTTTCTGTAAACAGATTTCCTGTCTCCTTTGCCCTGGTGACCCCAAGATAAATAAGCCATAGTCCCTATTTTTTAGCAGTTTATAGTCCAGCGGGACATGCAGACCAAAATACAAGTACAACTCAGTGTGATGGGGCTTTGACATCAGTCTGTGTAAGAGCGTTCAGGAGGGGAGCTACCCAGCAGTGC